CAATTAAATTTGCTCTGACTCCAGATAACTACACATTTAACACAAATGGGCACACTGTCTCCCCACTCTGGAGAACAATACAGGTATTCAAGCTCCTTGTGGGTTAGTCCTCACTACTAAAAAGTCTAAATAACAAATCAAACTTTTGTCTAACCTTGGATATTTTTGGTAGAAAAGTAGCAAAAGTATCACACCAAAATTGCCATATTCCTTTTTAAGGGCAAATCGGCTGCCCCTGCCCTGTTATATGTTGGTTGGTCTCACCTGACTATCTGACTCAGGAGGAACTGAGGGTTTTCTTGCCATAAAACTTATGGAAAGAACACAGACAAAACAGAGAAGCCAGGTCCTGGTAGTACTCTTGATCTAATCACATCCCACCTCACTGTGCAGATCTCCGGAGACAAACAGCACCAAGCATCTTTTGGGGTGGACGGCAGCGTATGCTTCTGCTTCTTGCGAAAGTACAGACATGGAGCTTTCAAGCTCTTTCTCCCTTTGACAATCCCTAAAGTTTGGCCACCAAACAAATTAAATTAACAAAAAGAAATATGAATTTACCACCATTCTTGTTCTCAAAGCTCTCCACAAGTTATACTCTGTCCACTAAGAGCTCCTGACAGCAGAAAGCTCTACCACTGGAAAGCTATCATGAGATGCATGCATGATGCTTGGGTACCAGAGCTGAACAGAATAGGCCACATGGAGTTGGACCCCATTCAACAAGCAAGATCTTGAAATAAACAGCTATGGGATTTTTATTTTTTTTTTTTAATTAAGCACACACAAACCTGTCTTCAGCTGCTAATGTTAACGTATTACTCATTTTCCCTTTCAAATAACGTCACGTTCAAAACCCTAGTGACTGTAGAATGCCTACTTGAGGCTGCTACTGCTGGTTTGTCTAGAGCTGTTTACTTTTCCATGCATGAGCTCATTACATCACTCTGTGGTTTTCTCAAAGGTTGTCAGGGTAAGCTGAATACAGGCTGGAATCTCTTGCTAACTAAAACAAATCACTAAAGTAGCACAAATGGATTTGGAGATAACTCAACTCTGGAAATGAGGAACAACCACAGATTCCTCAGAGGAGAGGGGATGCTCCCAAACAGGCAATCATTAGATTTTATTTTATTGGAAGTGGGATACTTTATCAGGTATTTCCCTAGATTAAGAGCCATAAAAAAGTAATCATTCAGGCTGTTGCAGGCTGGGGAGATGAGGTAGGAAACTGGAAGCTGAAAGAGTAAAAGCAGAATAAGAAGACACTTCCCAGCAATGCTGATTAGAGAATGGCCATTGTGAAGGTCCCATCTGTATCACCTCCTGCTCTGGCAGTGTTAAAAATAATTCACACATTACAGAGGGCGGTGCTAAGTAACAGGCTTAGTTTTGGGTATCCACGTGGCTGCACACATGGGTGTGCATGTTTGGGGAAGGTGAAAATCAATTCAAAACAAACAACAAAAATGCTCCTGTCAAAAAATACTGTGTTGATCTAGACCTTTCACTTGCCCCAAAAAAGAAAAACTGACTTTGGGGCTAAAGGCAGATGACTTAGTTTGTAAGTGTAGAAAAACAATCACTTCTCAGCTGCTCAACAGCCCAGATGTTAGAGCATGTTCATATTTTGGTTCCTGCCTCTGACTGAGAAGATTTGAACCTGCATCTCACCCTACTGAGAAAGGGATCTAGTTGTCACTTCATTTTTTAAGGTGTGCTGGTGAACAGCACTAGCAATCCCTCCCAGCAATGCTGCTTTACTTAGCATAGAAAAATTCACTGGCAGAATGCCTGGAGAAATACAGATTCTCAGTCAAATGCTGTAATCACCAGGCTACAGTCATTCTGCTTTTCCTGATCCCCAGGCTTAATTAGCATTTACACATGCCAAGCAAAACATACACACTCCAAAAGTGAGGACTGTTTAAGGAGAACCTGTTCTGTTTGTTAATACTACACAGAATGTAGAACACTCAGATTTCAAATGCAGCTCCTTGAGATACAGGCTGCATATGCAACGTGGAGTATCACCAGCTCTGAAATGGTCAGCTACCTGACTAACATTGACTAGAGACAATGACAGCAAATTACAGAGCCTATTTATATTCATATAGCAATTCTTAAATTCTCCTCATGATTGATATACCGATGATGCTAGCCTTCCAAGACATACAGTGTCTCTGCTGATTAGAGAGCAGGACATACCCTCTGACAGCAGATTCTGCTGGACTTCACTGCAAAAGACAGGGCTATTTAACCACTGCAAGGAGGAGAGAAATCAGGGTTAAGTGTTACATTACACAAACTCCAAGGAATAGGGCAGGCTTTCAAGAACTCAAGACTAATGAAAAAGAACAGAAATAAGAGTTAGGCTGGATATTGCAAAAAGAAAAATCCTGGGATTAAGTTCAAACAGCACAGCAGCTTTCTGTGGGAAGAGGTGAAATCTTTATTGCCTAAGGCATTTATGCTACACTAGAAAATGCTGCTCTTCATACAGCACATTCACTAGCCCTAAGGCAGCAGATTAGATGATCCACTAGGTATTTTCTCTAATTACAGTCATCCCAACTAAATTGTTGCAAGAGGATACCAGGCTGTACTGCCTCAAGACAGTAAGTGCAAGCTCAGAGTGATAATGTAGCTGAGCGAATACCAAACTCAAATATCCAATCTTGTGCTTGTAAAACTTACTTTAACCCTTGAAAAATAAACAAAAAATCAGAAATGTGCTGAGCATTGAATATTTCAAGCTGACAACAGCCAAAAGCAATTAAAAACATCCCCTAATTTTGCATGCCCACTTAATGACAGCGCTTTTCATCATCTTCAGCCAAGACAGACTTGAAGACATTTGAAGAACCTGATTCTAAATTATACTCATCCTCCCAACTCTTTGTTGTTCAATCTCACCTGCCCTATGTATACTGGCAAGGGATAAATGGAATGAGAGATCCCAAACAACGGTACTAGTCTTCACTGGTTGAAAGAAACAGACTAAAGCAGTCCACACCTAATATCAGATAAACCATAGCCCTAGACAGCATTTCTTGGTATCAGTAACTTGGTGTAAGAAACAGAGATGGCTGTTTATTTGTAGGGCCTGATGTGGAAACTGGGGTATACAATTCGCAACCCAGTCTCTTAATGAGATCATACAGCAAATGAGTGTCTGTCAGAGCAGTCAGTAAGGCCACACATCTCCTTTAAGATTACTGTAGAAACCACCTCTTATGGAACTCCTGAATCTTCCAGAAGATCATTTCTTTTCGAATTGTAGCATGCGCCAATAACCATCTTGATGGAATAACAGAAATTACATCAGAACCAATTGGAAAAAAAAAAAGTGGGCAAAAGTAAACTCAGAAAAGGAACTCTTCAATAAACAAAACACCTGGCTTACATCAGGCAGCTTCATGACTAAACACCTGAAATAACCAACTGACTTTACAATGTGAAAGCCAGCCTGCTTTGGTACTACAAGCCAAGAAAGGGTAGGAGGTAGGCTCACAAGTAAAAGACCCTCCTGCTCCCAAGTCCCTTTCCAGCTTCTTAGAACCCAGATCTAGGAACACTTCCTTCCATCACAGCTACCAGGTTTGCTGCATCAGAAAGAATGGTCTTCAAGATAGGTAAGCCTCATTACATAGGATTTTAATATTAAACTGTCACCTTCAATTGCACTATTGTCCCAGCAGCTCAAAAAACATAAGCTGCATTTGCTCTACCATGAAATACATCCTTAAAGAAGAATGCTGATACACCTACACTATCTGAAGCTTCTGGATGATTTCCACTGGCAGTTTCTACATGGACCACCCTGCTACAAAAAATGTCAGGAAGTGAGGCAACAGAAGACTGTTGCTAAAACTGGGGTCTGGTGAATGATGGATGTGCTTCTGTGCAGAGCAATTCTACACTCTGCAGCAAAATATTCTCACCTAGCCTAGCACTGATTTCACCCTGCAGTTGGGAAGGTTAAGGGTACTGCTGAGCACTATGAATGCTCTCTGGCTAATCCAGACATACCAGGTGATGAAGTACTTCAAGCTATCCTAATTTATCTGTTATGGGGACTGGAGTTATTCCCAACAGCTGCTCTAGGCATACACTATTTCATAAAATATATGCAATAGTAGCAGATCCTATTTAAACCTTAAAAGTAAACCCAATGGCTTAAGGCAATTTTCTTCTTTTGATATTCCATCTACCTTTTTTCTTTCCCCCACTTCAGTTAAAACATATCAGATAGAAACCATCCTCATCAAGAATCCCTAACTTCCCTCTTCAGATTATCCCAGTTTCTAGTGATTTCAGTGACTCCATGCAGTTTCACCCTCATCTCCAACCTCAAGTTTTACATCTTACCTTCACATCTTCCTGCTGCCCCTTTTCCCACACATGGTCATGATTTTTTCTTTGTTTTTTTTTTCTTTTTTTTTTATGCTTGGGTCTTCCCTTACCCACCCTATTACCCAAAAAAATAATTTCAGCATTTACTTAGATCCAACCATAAATAACCTACTTGCCGTTCTGAAATAATCCAATCTTTTCTCTATCAAAAAATATAACCCATACAGAAGAATCTTGAAATTGCTAGAAAAGAAGCCCCTCTCTGTAATTTCTCAACTGCTCAGACCAAAACCACAGCACAAAACTCAGAGCCAAATGCATCAGTTCGTACATCCATGAAAGACTGCTGAACAACAAACAGAATAAAGATGACAGCTGGCTGGGATGAATCAACAGATGAAGAAATCAGAGGTTCCCCAGATAGGGTCTGGGGAAAAACAAACATCTCTCATTACACGTCGACTGTGGCCTTCTGGACACAAAAAAGGACACTATCTGAAATTCTCTTACAGCCTGCACTTCAAACCCTGCAACACTGAAAAGCAGCAGGACAGGTACAATGAAAGAAGAGTGAAACAAGACAAGACTGTGAGGGACTACAGCCTAGTTGAAAGAAAAGTTTGTTTTCTTCATTAGACCATTACCTGAATTCCTTATATTGGAGCTGTTCAATTTAGAATCTTTGATGACCAAGTGCTTAATCCAAAGGGTGGGTGCTGTGATTTCTGAAAGAGAAAAAATAACAGCCTTAAAAAAAACTACAGCAACTCATAAATATATATGGTTGTTACTCATAGAACAGTTCGGGTTGGAAGGGACCTTAAAGCTCATCTAGCTCCAACCCCCTGCCATAAGCAGAGACACTTTCCACTAGACCAGGTTGCTCAGAGCCCCATCCAACCTGGCCTCAAACTGCCAGGGATGGGGCATCCACAGCTTCTCTGAGCAACCTGTGCCAGTGTCTCACCACCTTTGCAGTAAAGGATTTCTTCTTTATATCTAATCTAAATCTACACTCTTTCAGTTTAAAGCCATTACCCCTTGTCTGGTCACTACCTGCCCTTGTAAAAACTCCCTCCTTACCTTTTCTATAGGCCCCCTTTAGGTACTGTAAGGATGCTCTATGGTCTCCCTGAAGCCTTCTCAAGGCTGAACAACACAAACTCAGCCTCTCTTCAAAGAAGACAAGATGCTTGCTACGATCATGCCTTAACTGAACCATCATCTTCATAGAGATAGGCTTATTCCCTAGTGAGGTCTTCCACCTCTTATGAAGCAAGATTTGTTAATCTTCTACAAGGTTATCACATTATCTTCCCATTCCAGACAGTACCTCCCTTCCACCCCCCACCTCTTAAGCTCTCAAGTCTAAAGCCTTTCCCCTTAGGTCTTACAGATCTCAAAGGTTATATTGTGTGCTATAGTATATATTGGTTTTCAGTATATACTGATTTAAAAAGTCAATTGAGACCTTAAATATCACCTTAACAGCACAAGAAGAGCTGACCACAGTCAGTTCCCTAAAACAAGCAAGAACAAAATCTGAGGTAATAGGCAGAGAAATGAAGATATTTCTGGAAAGACATGAAAGAAAGTCTGTTAAAGAAACAAGTTCTGGTTAAAAAAGCATATCTGATGCACTACAACCATGATATCCAAAGATACATTTGTGGGAAAAAATTGCTTAGAGCACCTTCTCTGAAGTGTTACAATCTACTTCAAAACACAGAACCTGCCCTAAACTGCAGAAATGACACAAAAATCAGCATTTGATTAGAACTGAGCAAAGCAGTACTCAATACCATGGGCTAAAGCTCCAAAAGGAAAGGTCTTCCTAAAGAAAGACATTTTCAGAACTGGTATCTTCTGAAGCTTTTTCAGTTTCCACAAGAGCATGCCTTAAATACTAGATTCTGGAGTTTGTCTTAAGTCCCTCTAAGAAGTTTTAACAAGGGTTTTCCTGCTCCTTTGTAACATTTACATGGATCTGATCTGGCACGGGAAAGCTAGCTGCCTACAAGAGAAACTGATTATACATTACAAAAGCATGAAGGAAAATGAAAGGGAATTCTTCCTTCCTAAAAGTTTTCAGCTACATTCATTATAGGCATTACTGAAATAATGTTCAGGGCATTTTTTCATATGGAAGTATAGGCTGGACATTGATATTCCAGCAGTAGTAAAAGCTTGCTAAACAAAGACTGCCTTATCTGCAGGTTCCACTACACTATTTTATAATCACTTTGTCATGATGCACTCCTATAAATATATATATCTATATACTTTGGGCCTTTTGAGGGAAGAACTGTATCAAATTAAACACTGGGTGAGAGGTAGGAAGGGGAAAAGCACAAGAGCAGAAAAAGTCCATAAACCAAAAATGCTAGATCAAACCTAAATCTGGGGTGAAATTTAGCTCTGACTCTGCACTATACGGACTGGTTATACCTACAGTGGAAGAAGGAGGGACAACCAAAGTCAAAGAGGGCAAAGAATTTTTGGAATACAGGTAAGCAACACAGACTCCTCTGAGCAACAGATCTGTGGAAAGAGTAGATTCCCACTGAGTTAAGAGGTAAAGTTTAGAAAAAAGGAAGATATTTGAACTTATTCTTTAGGAAACAAGAACAACTTACAGATTGAAACTAAATAGAGGGTGTATGAAAAGAAAACAAAGCCTAGAAGTGCAGGAGGGAATGAAACTTTTTAATTCAAAACTATAGCAAGGACCATTTATAAAATCCTGCAAAGAAAAATCTTGTCTAAGAGGAGATTCACTATAAACATCACCAAGATCTGCATTGTAATGAAGTGAAATAATTTTTAAAGAGATGGCTGCTTTATGATTCAAGCCTTGGACAGGAGAGTTTAAATTATCTGATACATATTATCTCTGGCACTGCCCTGTTGTGCCCTCAGGGAGGACGGTAGGGAGTGGGAGGGGAAATTATATCTGAAATGTGAATTTTCATTACCCTCTAATGTAGGTGAAAACATGAGAAAGGTGAACCTTCACCTTGGAGATGCTGACATCCAATATCACGTATTTCAGGGGCAGCTGAATGTATGTATGTCTTTGAAAAAATTCAGCCCCTTGTGGATTGAAAGTAGACACCCCAAAATGAAGCATGAAAAGAAATTCTACATTTTTATCGTCCATTCACGTTCCTACCAACTCCATCCTGGTTGCCTGACTTTGAATGCACAGGTTTTCAGAAGCCCAGCATGTCTCAAACCCACTGAAATTAAATGGGATTTTGTCTTTAACTCCTTTGAACATCTATACACCTGACATGTGGATGGACAACTGTTTTGTCTTTTTATGCCATCTGATGTGTTAGACACCAAGTACAAGCCATTCCTCAGGAAGACCTACCCAAGACACTGGGAGAGTATGCTACTGAAGTGCCATGACATGTTTGCTCAGATAGAATGGATGCTTTCAGGATGACACCCTGAAGCATCCAGTCCAACCTTCTACTCCAGACAGGGTCAGCTATAAGAACAGACCGGGTTGATCATGCCTTTAACTGGCACTAAAGGAAGACAGAGTTTCACCTCTTTGGACAATCTGTTCCACTGCCTTCTTGTCCTCATGGTGACTAAGTTTTTCCTTATATCCAGTCCAACCATTTTGTTTCAATTTATGACTGTTGCTTCACATCGTGCATTGCTGTGAAAATCCCCACTCCCTCTTCTTAAAAAACTTCTCTGTAGATATTGGAAGGCTGCTACTAGGCCACCTTTAAGTCTTCCCCAGGCTATACACTTATGCTGTTCTTGATGTACCCACTTTAAGTCACTCTTGAGGACAGTATGCTTAAAGGTAGATTACACAAACTTTTGTTCAGACCCAGAATGGATTTCGTTGTGCTTATTGCTACAACCAACGCTGAAAACTAGTTAGTCCTATTTAACTAACAGGGATGACAAAAATAGAGAGTGATAAACTTAGCAGAGGTTATTCATTGGTGCATAGTTTAATCCATCTGTCATATTCTCTTCTCCCAGGCCATGAGGGACACTGCTAAAACAACAGGAAGCCATCACATTAGTCATTCTCTCTAGAAGTCTAGGAGATAAGGTCTTGCATAATATATCACAAGATTTGTGAGAGGCAATCTTTCATCATACAGTCCAAGTCCATTTATCAGACTTGATTTCACTTACAAATCAATGCAAAGCTTTTTCATTGAAAATGTTTTTCACAGAAGATGACTTTTTTTCTGACTCTGCCTGTCACCAGAAGGACCAGAAAAGATCTGTTCACTGCACCATTTCTCAAGACCTTTGCCCAGTTCTATGTGAATGACCAAAATGTAGTCTCTCCTAAGAGGGAGCTTGTGAACAGGCTGTATTAACCAGATCAGCTCACTCCTGTGTTTTACTGGTGCATTCTTTCCTTTGAATATCTATGGGCACCCTCTCAGGGGAAAACTTAAAGACCAGAAGTTTGTGATTACAAACAACAATTTAATACAACATCAGCTTGCTGCCAGGAGGAACTGTCTTTTGATATAAACAAGAGATAGCATGGCTTCCATCTCCTTTGTTTATTTTAAAGTGCTTTTTGCTCTGAGGGCTTTGCTTTGTTTCTCAAAGCTCACAAGAAGATTCTTACAAACCTACAATCACTAAATGGAAGTGACAGGACTACAACATCTTCCCATTATATAAGCTTATTTTAGCAACAAACCCCCACGCCCCATCACCTGTTTTTACAAGAAAGCAAGAGTAGGCAGCAGCACCACCTACTCTTGCTCAGTAGTCCCCATTTCTGACTTTGATCCAGTTTAAAAAAAGTTTCAAATACAACAGTCAGTTATGAAAAGTCATAGGTTTTCCTTCACTGCCTTCTCGTCCACAGATTCAAGTGGGTGACAGGGTGGTTCAGGCTTCAGCCCATAACTTGACCATAATGGTTGTGGATTTAAAGATGTAGAAAACTTGCACTACTTCTAAGTAATATGCAAGGCATAAACAGCCCATTCACTACTCAAGGACCACTATCCCCACTGGTATTTATTTTTGTATGTACAAAAGCCTTGAGCCCTCTGTGATGACAGCCTTTTTATCCTCGTTTCAAGGCTTTCCATGGACTAACGTCCAATATTCCCTTTCCAAAGTAATACAATCACAAGATTAGCCCATTTGAGAAGGAAACTGCCTTGGTGGGCTGTGAATTAAGTGGGCCCAAGATACTGACTTCATTTGCTTAAATAGTATGTGCGTCAATAAAAGTAATTGTTAAATAAAGAAACCTCCCAGCAATTTTCTTCCAACTCAGTATTCACAAGCTGTGGTTTAGCACTGCCCCCCCCCCCTTTTGTGAAGCTGTAATGCACTGCAGAGGTTATGAAACTCCCAGCACTGGTATCATGAGGGTAGAGAGAACAAGGGAATATGGACAGCCTAGGGAAGTTACCGTGTCTGACTTGATGAACACTTTTTTATTTTTGCTGTGACACCTTTTCCTCCAAGGTTACCTCAGGAATCTCATCAACTGGTGTTATTGTTGGATTCCAGGGAAGAGGGGAGAATGTAAAAGGATTAGGGAAAATGCCTGAGGTCCCAAGGGCACATGAAATTTGGATAACTTATGAGATTCATTGGCTTTTCTGCTTTGCAGGATAAAGAAAGCATTTGAGCCATAAATCCTTGGGAAAAGGGAGAGGGAAGTAGCTTTTTTTGTTATTATTATTTTGAGGGATGTTCTTACCTTCTCCATCAAAAATCGGCTGGGTTTCCATGGTAGGTGTTGGCTTCGAACCGTCATCTGAATTGAGGGTTAAAAAGAATCGAAAAGAAACTACCATTATTGAGGTAAATACTATCTACTCTCCAGTACTGTTGAATGATTGGGATTTGTACATGGCCCGGCCAAGTCCGGAAGAGAGAGAAGACAGACAGAAAGAATACAGTTCATACTCACAGCAGTAACATTCTACATAGCAAGCATGCATCAAGCAATATCCTTAGACTTAGAAGAAGCCTCCCGCCCTTCCTCCCCTCTCCCTCCCAAAACCACTGGTGCTCATAACCTGGCACTTTCCCCTTGTTGCACTCATGCAATCACCTTTTTAGTTTCAGGTCATACATCCTACACAGGTCATTTCCTGAGATAACAGAAGTCTGGAGATTGCTGCCCCACTGTGTATTTCTCCTTATTCTTTTTGTTCAAAAGAAAACCTCTTCTTCTGTAACTTACCTGTGCAGAACCTGGCACCAGCATTCACTGCAGAGCTGTCAGAAAGGGATGGTCAATAGCAAATCTTTTTTCTTACAGTGCCTGCATCAAGGCATTCACTAATTGCAATGCTGTGGCAATGTCTTCTAATTGCAAAATCGTGGAAAAAGAACTTTTCTCTCATTCATGTGTGAGAGCACTCCATGTCTTCTGACCGCAAGTCTTTCATAATTAAAAGTTTAAACCAGAGGAGATTCCATAGGAACTATAAATCTCAATATTTAGACATGGACCACAGGGAAAAGTGTTTAGTTTACACTCTGTTTGGCTTTGTTTGCCTGTCCATTGTACTATCTACTGCCCCAGCTTGGATTCAGACTGAGCCTAATTTCCTTCACACTCAGAGGGATCTGGATTTCAATCCCCAACTTGGAGCATCTTTACACAGCACTTGAACAGTGGCACAGCATTAAGTGAGGCAAAACGTTTGCCTGGGGGCAAGCTAAGCTGGAAGAAACAGTGAAGGAAGATCTTTGTTACATTGCAAAATCAGAAAATAAAATAGTGGTGGGATGTAAACTAAGATGAGATTAGCCTAGAATTGCCTTTTCCCCCCTTGTTTGAATACAGTGACTTTTAAAACTTACAGTTTGTTACAACTGCTTTTTGCATATGTTATGGACAGAGATGACACTAGACATCAGCAAAGTGGGCAGTAACCTAAAATGCAAAGTTACACAGCAAAAAATCAGTTGGAGGGTGGAGTTCATGACAGAAAAGCCAAGCTTCCCACCATCTCCATGGCTATCAGATGCACAGGGCAGTCAAAATTTGGAGGAAAGGTGCATGGAACAGCCCCTCCTAGAGGTAGCAGTAACTGCCCTCAGCCTTCCCTTATATTAGTTCAATTAAAAAGTATGAGACCATTAGAAGGGGGAAAGAAGGGCAGAAATGGAAAACAGAGGCTTGTAGACTATTTTTTACACACATACCTACATTTGCAGTTTTATAAAGCGAGCAAAAGCCTAAACACCTCTTCCACAGATCATTCATTGTATGCATTTCCACAGCAGGTAATCTAATTCACAGAAAGCAAAAGTGTGCTGGTGATTCTATTTCAACCTCAGAGATCCACTGAAGTAAAGGAGGTTGACAGAAACAAGCAAGACACCCTTTGTTGTCATTTTCCCCTCTTCCTCATTGTATTTGGATTTATGCTTAACTGCAAGGAAAGAAAAAAAATTTGGAAGAAAAAATACTTACCATTTCCGAATCAACTCATGTTCAGAGTTTTCCTGTTATTGGGTACTACCAGTAACATGGATAAACAGTATTTTTCTTTAAAAATTAGAACAATTGATTTGTCAGGAAATAAAAAAATTAAAAACCCCCAATTCTGCTTAATTTACAAGAATGAAGATTTTGCCCTTTAAAGAAATCTTTGAATAAAAGCTCTTGGTTTTTTGTTGGGTTGTTTGTTTTTTTTTTTGGTCAAAATAGGCTGCTCTGCTTCTGCAAGATCCCAGAAACCACAGCTAAGGCTTGTTATTTGTTTAGTATGACACTTCACACTGTAACAAAGCAGTGAGCAGTATGTAAGCAGCGTGGTTGGCTTTACAGATTGAGAAACCAACCCAAAACTGCAAAAGATACTTATAGAACAACTGGAAAGATGAATAATTCTGAAGTTACACAAAACAGAAAGAGACCTGGCATAAAAAAATTACCAGTGTGATAATAAGTTTATTCATATTGTTTTCATGAATGCTTCTGCACAAAGTAATTACAGAATTGCTTTTCAGATTTAAAGCAGCAACCCAGAAGCCAACAATGGAGAAAAATTAAAAGTGGATGTAAGCCACAGCACTTTATCCAAACCATTATATGAAATCTGGCAGAACTAGGGATGCTTCAGGTTCAGGAGGTTTCTTTTAGTCTCAAGTGTGTGCGTGTGCATGTAGAACAGAGGCAGTAAGCAATTACAATCTGTGAAATACATTTTTCCTAAAGAGAATCTTATAGCACTTCTTGTACAAAGTTAGCCATTAAGCTACTGAAGAGTATTAAACAGTGACAGAATAAATGCAGCAAATAGACAAAAATACCAAACTAACCTTTGAACTGAGGGGCCTGTTCAAGATAATCTCAATAAAACAGTTCTGTGAACTACACAATCATTTCCTCACTGGGTTACTAAGGCCAAATTGTCACTAAGTCCACACTGTAGCAGCACCCAGTACAGTATTAAGGGCTTTGCAAATAGAGGGAAGTATAATTACTCCCCTGTTGTTCAAGTTAGTACAGTTCTTTCATCACACATACAAGAAAAAAAACGCAATAGGCAAGAGCCCTGTGATTACACTCACCATATTTCAAAAATCAAAAGCCAGGAATATTTCTGATTATTTTTTTAAAGGTCATGAAATAGTCAAATAAAAGACAAAAATTGAACTTTATTAAAAAGACCATGCTCAATTCCCAGCTGCCAGCTTCTTATTCTCAAACTACCAAATCTGTTTCTTAAATTGGAGGATTCTCAGTAGGTCTCAGTGTTTCAAATTAACTTATGGCAAGTTTCACTGCCATTTCCTTTGGGCAGAAGAATAACCCTAATGCTTGTCTCCCCTCATTTAATTTTCCTTCTCACTCCATACACCGTTCATCACACCGAACAGTTGTTCCACTGGCCTGTTTGCTCCTGATAAACAAGAAGTAAGTTCTATTTTACATACTTGAAAGTTTAGAACAAACATTTTGTATTCCTTAAAAGAGCATTTTAACATAGAACAGAAAACCAAGCTATTTCAGAGACCTGAGGTCTCCTGTAATATTATGAGATGTACAGGATATTGTTACTTTGGAGCCTAAGGTATGAAGTATGCTCATTAGATATAATTTATTATTTTCTTCAAAAAACTATTAAATTCCATGCTTTCAAAGAAGGCATGTAACTGTAATAGTTCTTCATGCAGAGCATGTCACAGAGGGATCAAAGAGGTCAAGTAACTGCTTCTTAATCCCTCTAGATGGCAATGCCTTCAGATCAGGAACTCACACGCTGCAGAACCATCAAAGAGAATACCCTTGGTTGCAGAATATTCTCAGAGCCTTGATGAAAAGTGCATTGGCATGCTTCTCTACCATGTTTTACAACCCATCATGAACATCCACTTTCTTTTTCCAAGACAGCCACTGAATGCAGACAGCATTACCCAACGGAATACCTTGAGAGTATATATACCCAATGGGACATCAATTTAAATCCAAAAAACTCCTGTCCAGTAACCCTCCTTTTCCCAGGGCACACTCACAAAACTTGAACCGATTTTTCTGTCTCAACCAGTTTTAACTTAAAAATTGCATTTTTATCTTATCACTGGTAAGAGTGAAACAGGCAGGTCCAAACAATGTTCCCTAAGCCATTTTCACATGAAGATACCAGGCTATGAACCAGAAGCCCACGTGCACTACTGCTGTCAGAGGCAATGTTTTTTGTTGCATTAGCATGACAATAACTCAGAACAGGAATAATTACTTGCACATTCAGATCAACTGCTAGTGAGGGCAAGAACTTCCTAATTCTCCCACTAGGACCCCCTTCCCATAGTCTTACAGAATATCTAGCAAGCATCCACACCTGGAATGACTATAGCGTATACTGGGGTTGACAGACAAGGAGAGTCAGTTCATGTGGAAGACAACTGTTAAAGTGAGTTTTTACTTGAACAACAGGCACTGAGGCCATGAGCAGCTTGAGTTGTCAGGAGAAAAGTAAACTCCCTGACATTGAAAAAGCACAAATTACTATGGAAAGGAATATGAAGTAACTGCCTGCTACTCTGAATCACTGTTCTTGCCTCAAGCCACCTAAAGGAAGCTGGAGAAAGGGAAAAAGTTACATGATAGAAATAACCTCCCATATCATATATACCCAAGAAAATATATCCACTGCAGAAGTCATCTATATACTTGTATCACCATGTTAACAGACCAAGATGTGCATGTTTTCTAAGCAACCTCAACTTTCAGTACATCACTTTTGTGTTTTCGTTAGGACCCATGAGACACTCTGTAATAGTTAGGGTTGGAAAGGACCTTAAGATCATCTAGTTCCAACCTCCCTGCCAAGGGTAGGGACACCTCACACTAAACCATTTCTACCATTTTAAAGTGTGCTAATGCTTATGCACTCAACCATCCAGGCCTTGCACATAATCTAGTCTTTTTTGTAACTCCACGGCTTGAATATCAATGGGTCCCAAACTTTGAGTCAGCCTGATAGAATAGGAGGATGACAGTTATAAGTGCATAGCTCTGCCTTGGGAGAAGGCAACCTTTTTCCAGTGTCAAGTGATTCTTTCACTTACCATCATCTGGTTTGGGGCGAGCCATTACTTAGCATAGCTCAAGCTAAATAGGCAACTTAGAGCACAGACAGCCAGGACAGAGAGTGAATTCTCAACTTGTCCTGTTCAATGCAGCACAGACAACCTTTACTGGGTCTGTCAAACCAATAGGAAGGGAGAATAGTTTTCCTAGGCTTGAGCACTCCTTAGGGACTGAAGTCATATGTACACCTTTTAGTGGCTTTAATAACCACTCAGATGCAACAAAGACCTCTC